CCCAGCAAGCCTCCTGGCCTCCTCCCCCATGAGGAACCAGGAAGTGGGGTGCTGCCTATGAACCTGGTAATGTTCCCCCAGGTGCTCAATCTCCCCCCACCTCGGTCTGTGACTCCACACCTACAGGCCGGGAGCAGTAAAAATGTGCGGTGTTAAAGCCACTGCTGTGTCTGAGTGTGAAGTCACACCCCACCACCTGTGTTCTAGCCCTGGCTGCTGGCTCCTCCTGGGGTCGCTGGTGAGCTCCCAGGAGAGACTGTGCAAGGAAGCCTCGTGTACTGGGAGGTTCTGTGCACACATGCATTGCCACATCTGAGGGCCAGAGGAAACCGGGGTGGGTGGGGTCAGGACGGAGCGGTCCTGGGATGCAGGCTCCAGAGCCAGAATTCAAATCAGTGGCCGGGCAACTTCAGGCAGGCAGCTGAACCCCATGGCAGACACAATGCCACCCAGAGATGCTCATCTAGCAGCTACCAGACTCATGCCCAAGAGGGTCTGTGGGTACAGAGTTGAGGCAGAGGAACAGGGAGCAGCAGGGAGAGGCAGGGGACAGCACGAACTCCAGGGGAAGTGGCACAACCCGTGCTCAGACCCCACTCACAGGCACCCAAGAAGTCCACGGTCCCGCCCACCTGGAGCTGGGCCGCTGCACCCTCAAGGCATCTCAGAGTGACGCATGGTTCCTCTCACTCCCGTGTTTACTAAGGCAGACCCAGCTGTCAACACGTTTCTCCAACGTTCCCGTTATTGCTTGTGATGGGTGATGCATTATTTTGGAATATTCCCAGCCCAGAGGACTGATGGGAATCTGTCTTCTGGTATGAAAACACCCAAGCATAACAACCGCTCCCTGGTGCACCTCACTGAAAACTTCCAAAACTCCCTGCTTCTACCAGAGCACATGGCAGACTGCGGGCGTCCCCCCAAAAGTTCCTCTCCTCCAGGCCCGCCCCCGCTGAGCCTGCTGAGCCAGAAAGGGAAAGCCTCCCTCCCTCTAGTACTTTCCCTCAAGTATTTGCTGAGAAGTCATCCGCGTGCATCAGTCAAGTTCAGTTCCTGTATAAAAGCAGGCTGCTGTGCACCGGAAGATGGATGTGTTAACATCTCAGTCCCCGTTGCACAGGTGGGAGACTGCTACAGACAGGGTCCCTTGCAGCCAGAAGTGCTGCACAACAGAGCTGAGCCAGCTCCCCCGTGCAGCACCCCAAGCAGGATGGAGGAGGGGGTGGGTGGGAGGACATCACACACTCCCCTCCCAGCCCCCTCCCTCCCATCAAAGTCAGACTGGCCAGTTTCGCCTTCAGGGAAAGCAAGGGGTTTCCTGTGAGTCACAGTGAGCAGCTGGTAGCCCTGGGGACCACAAGAACACCAGGCCCAATTTTCCCCTGTGCTATATTTAGAATGCCCCAGAAAAGCCCAAAGCCGCTGGTGTTTCCACCTGCTTAGCTGGACCCGGGAGGCAGCTCCTCCTCCTCTGCCCTCCTCACCCTCCCCTGGGCCCTGCCCCGCATCCCCCAGAGCCCCACCCCCACCGCTTCTGCCGCCCAAAGCCTGAGGGCTCCTCCCAGCGGGGACCTGGCTCCGCCCCCCCAGCTCCAGATGTCTAAAGATTCTAGAGGGGCCTTGAGCAGCACAGGCCAGGGACTTAATCACCGCGTTTCTTCCTTGCGAAACTACTGAGGGTCCAATTAAATGGTTGATGGGGGCTGAGCTGGGTGCAGGCACAAAGACGGATCTTCAACACCTCTGCTTCTGCCTTCTTGGCCCGGGACTGGGGGCAGGAGAGGGGCTCCTCTCCTCGCGTCCCAGCCACAACCTGAAACCAAGGGCATCTGTGGCTCTCAGGGGGCTGTAGTGGGGGCACCAGGGACGAGCATCCAAACACCCCAACCATCTCAACAGTAGCAAGAAAGCGCCCCTTGTGTGGCACTTTGGGACCACACGCTCCCCATCGAGGCGGAGGCCACCCTGCTGGGCCCTGCCATGTACTGCTGCTTCTCTTTGAAACACACGCGGGCTGAGCTAACCTGGCTGAGCCTCTGTGCTCAGGCCTGGGCTAGGCGAGGACGATGAGAAGGCTCCTTTGGGGTGTGAAGTGAGGTGCTCACCCTCGGTATGCTAAGTCCTGTGTTGGTCAGGAGCCTTAGCACAGAGGACAGACATGTGTGACCGCCCATCACCCATTCATCTGGAGGCAGGACAGCTGCCAGCCGGGTCCACCCCCTGCTCCTTCCAGGCCAGAGCTGTGTGTTGTTTTGGTCAGCGGCTAAGGAATTCCATCCCCTCACCTTGCTTAGCAGTGGGCAGCGCTGATGAGGTGGGGAAGCAGGCTTGAGAGCCACAAGCAGACAACCGAGCAACACTACAGACAGCTCCGGCCACTGGCGGTGCCAAGCAGGCCTGAGAGGTGTGGGGGGCAAACCAAGCCCTCACGCAGCAGGCTGCTTTGCTCAGATGCTGCCAGCTCGCAGCCAAGTTGCCCCCACTTGCAGTGTGAGCATTGGTGCCATGAGACTGGGATCCATCGTTATACGGCCTTGGCCTTCTTGCTTACAAAAGATTGCAGGAATGAACAGCAAGGTCACTTCGCTGCTGGGGAATGCGTCCTACCCATGAGATCATTTGGCCAAATTCTACAACTGGAAAAGAACGTGAAGCTCCTGTCAGGTGCTTCATGCTAAGACCCTGGGTATGCTACCAGGGACCTGGAAAGGAAGCATCACAGTGTGTGATCAGCCAGTGTCAGGTGGACAGGAACCAGCCCCCTCTACAGGTTGCCGGGCAGACCCAGCAGTGGGACCACGTGGGCAGCTCAGTCAACATCACGATGCAGTGTCCTAACCATTGCTTCATCTGCCTTACCCTCACCACCACAGCCTGAGACGGGAACCCTGCCTCCCCAACTCCCAGTCTCAGCCCTGCTGGCTCTGCTAAGGTGCTTGGGGTCAGGCCCAGAGGGGATGCAGCACAGAGGCTGGCCCATGCTGCAGCTGACCAGGGCTGGAGGCAGCTTGGCCCCATCACATACCCTTTCACCGACAGCCTCTGGCTGTACAGCCACATCATTGTGCTCCTCCCTCAGCCCCGTGGGGCAGGGACTGACTGGGCATGCTGGGGTCTGGGTCTCGTGCTGTCTGCTGAAGGGTGCGGTAGCATGCGTCTGCAGCCAGCAGCATCTACTGCTCCATGGTGTTTAGTCTTTGCCTCCTGCTGGCTCAACCAATGTCCCAGTGTCCAAGCCTCCGCAGGCATCCGTGACCAGAAACACAAGCACGGCATGAGGAGGAGGTTGCTTCAAACCCATCCTTCCCACTCCACTTCGGATCGCATTTCTCAGCAACAGACAAGGCCAAGGTCACCACCAGCCGCCCCCTCCAGCAGCTTCCTCAGCAAGCAGCTTACACGGGACCCCCATGGCGGCAGCCCACCTGCCTGGCTTTCTTCACTGAGATAAGCCAGAGAACAAAAGTCACACATGCACGCGTGTGCACACTTCACGATGCAGTACATGTGCAAGTACATGTGTGCTTGCGTGTACTCAACTGCATGCCTCTCTTGAATAAAACACCTCCCAGTCTCCTGCTGGGGAGCTTTCCCGTGAGTCATCCGAGCAACTTGAAGCAGGTGAACTGGAGCTCCATTTTCACACTATATTTGGAATGTGGCAGACAGCTCTGTCTTAACTTCACATGTTATTCTGGAAGCATCAAAAGGTAGGTTGCTTAGTTCCCTGCCCCCCCCCCCCCCCCGCTCTCTTATCAGAAAAAGGGAACCTTTCACAGTTGTTTTTCCAGGTGTCACAGTGAAACAGAGTAAATCAGATCCAACATGCAGTTACTGCCACAGGCCGGGCCAGGGGACCTTGATGAGGCATCTGCTGCCAAGATACACAACCCACTTCTGGTCCTCTCGAGTGACCTGGGGACCCAGCGTGGTTGCTGGCGACCCTTCTCCAGGAAACCAAGGCCAGAGGACAAATGTCCTGAGCCATATGCAGGGCAAAGGATATGAATTTGACAACAGCTCAGCCCCTGAGGTCCAAACACAGCATCCCAAATGCTTTACAAAGCCCCACGCATGTCACGGCTCTCAAAGGGACACTGCAGTCGGCACACTCGGTGACAAGGACACTATCACACAGGAGCTCTTGACGAACCCCACTCATGATTCTTCACATACAAAATGCCCTAGCCAGCTCCACCTCTCCCGACTTGCACACAGCCTTGCCCCTGCCTGGCCACCCTGGCCCCTGCCCACCGCTGCTAGCTCTGTTTCCTGATTTCAAATCACAGGCAACAGGAGCACGTGTCTTCAGTCATGGGGGATGCTTCCCCTCCAAAACTGTCCAATAATCAATCAGGAGACCTGCTAGAGAGCGCCATCAATACAACAGAAGAGCCACAGACTTGGGCAATGGACGGCGACCCTGATGGCGAGTATGGATTTTGTTACTTGATAAAGAGCCAGGGACTTGGCCTGGGGTGTGTGTGTGTGTATTTATATATGTATTATGTGCACTCATACTTATTGACACAGACTTGAGTGTGCATGTATGTACATATGTTCATTAGTGTGTGCATGTTTGTATATCTGTGTGTGCTGGTGTTTACTTGTGACCAATATGGCCTGTTGAGACTCTTGCTGCTCTCCGAGTTTGAAAGGTCTAGCAGCTCCCTTGTGGTTAGACTGGAGTTTGAACCAACTATCCACGTCATTTGAAGCGCCCTGGGTGAAGACCAGGACCCATCTTAAGAGCCGGTATGCTTGGACACATGGGCAGGCATTCCCCAGCTTGGGATAAGCCCTCCCCATAAGTATGTCCAGCAGCATCTCTCCAGCTGTGCTCCCTAGTAACCACACATGTTCCCTTTGGAAACATCTGTGTGTAGTTGTACAATGGAGGAAGGTGACAGCAGTGCGTGCATGTATATGGGGGGAATCTGGTAAAACAGACATACAATCTGCCAGGTACCAGCTGGTACCGCACCCAGGACACTCACCATGGTCGTGGGCAAACACCAGCAGGTGCAGCCCCACCAGCATCTGAGCCAGTTCCTCATAGCGGCCGCAGTGCTCCCCGGCTCCATGAGACACGAACACCAGTGCTCTGCAGGGACAAGAGGGCACAGTTAACAAACCCACAAACCAGCGTGCACATGGTGCCATCAGTGTTCAAGCTGCTGCCTCCTCTCCAACAAGAGGGGTCGGTCAGCAAGGCGCAAGCTCCCAAGTCCTGCAGGATGGGGGTCTGCCAGGCCTTTCCCCTGAGATTTTATCTGTTCCTCTGTCAAGCAGTGGCGACCTACTTCCCTTCGGGGTATCCAGGCATGGATTCTTGGGACATGCCAGGCAGGGTACTTTGGGCACCTTTTGGGAATGTGCCTGCTGTCCCACGGCTTCAGCCCACAGCTACTGCAAATGGATGAGTGCTCAAGTTGGAGCTTGCAATACACCACTGGGAAGCCACTGGCTAGAGAGGGCTTCAGGGCTTCATCTGGTGGCCTGACAACTGGCCCCAGTCATTGTCTTCCCCCCAGATGGCCTGTCAATACAATCTTTACCCATGGTAGGATATGCAAGGTACTAGATATCCCTCCCTCTACTGCAACTGTCACTACAAATGAGTGGCTCTCATGTTGGGGGCACATGCTGGAACCAGGCTTGGGAAAGAAGTGGGTGGGGCTTTAAGAGCCACTGAGGCCAGGCCCTCTCCCGCCTGCCAGTCCTGTAGGTGAGTGACGCACAACCTAGGCTGAGCCGAGGACGAAGCTCAGCGGACACAGGGCAAGAAGCGAGAAGGCAGCCCACAGACCATGCTCCCACATCAGGCCCCAACCTGATCTCAATGTCGTCTAGTGGGGTTTTATTCTCAGCTCCTGGGCGCTAGTCCTGTCCAATCGACCTCCCCTCCCAGGCCCCACATGTCTTTTCCCTGTCTGGGCTGAGCCTGCTTGGTGCAATCTGTCTGGCACGGGGAAATCAAATCAGGCTCCTCTCCTGCCTAGACCCTCCCGAGACTTCCTGGGGCGCCAGAGTGCAGCCACTGCAGCTGCTGCTGCTGCTGCTGCCTGTCCATTCAGCTCCTCCCCTTCTCCAGCTCCTCTGCCTTGCAAGCCCAGATACACGCAGCAGGAGAGTGCTGCTAAAACCCAGCAGGTAGGGGTGGCAGGTCCCAGGGTCCCACCGCCTGGCTCTGCGAAGAAATGCTCTCCCCAGGGGTGATCTTGGGCTCCTGATGGAGGTCACTGATGCCGCGCCCGGAAAGAGATGTGCACAGTAGGCGTGCCCCGTGAGCTGTACCCTGCTGCACACCTCAGTCTGCCACGTGGGTCTTTTCCAGGTGCCCTGGAGGAAGCTAACATGGTTTGTTTCCTGGCATGCTTTCTAGTGCCTCCCCCACCTGAGAAGGTTCAGAAAGAGGCAGAGGGTCTATTTTTCTATCACAGTCCTAGATGGGAAAGATTCCTGAGCAAAGACTGGATGACTGGCGGCCACCACCACCACAATGAGGTCCAGAGCCTGAGTCCCACCTCAGCCTCAGAACCCAAGCCCCAGCCTGGGGCTGTACTGGGAGAAGAGGAGGTCTGGTATTGAGATTTTCCACTGCTTTGTCCCATTTCCCTGTCCAACACCCTCCCCACAAGGAAAATCTCCCTTTGTCTTCCCCTACACACCTGCTGTGGGCGGAGTTGTGGTCACCCCTCTCCCCACTCCCTTCCAGCACAGGTCCCTGCCTAGCTGCCTGACACATAGCCAGCCATATCCTGAGCCCTAGGTTTGCAGCTGTCCTTCTGGGGACGGGGACACCCCTCAGCCCCAGGGTTTCCCACAGGGGACTTCCCCATCAGGTTACTAGTTGGACACTGGGTAGGGATTTCACAAGACAGTGGGATTGCAGCTCTGCCTGGAAAATGCATGTGGCCAGGCGCTGCTGGGCCGTGATGTCACAGGGAGGCCGTGTGCACAGGGCACCCTTACAGCCGGGGCACCCTGGGCAAATCACCTCACCTCACTGGGTGGCAGACACCAAGGCAAGGCAAATGGATGACTCAGAGAGCATTCCATATCAGGCCGTGGGGGTGAGTGACTGTACACAACTCACAGCCATGCACAGCGCTGGCCCGATTATGAGAAGCATGGAGCACGTCACGCCAGGTGCCCTGAGCACAGCTCTGGGGAGCTGGAGGGTGTTCTCCATCCGGGGGATGGTGCCCAGCATGGCTGTGACCTGACGTGACTTCAGCTTGCAGAAGAACCCGGAATGGAGCCGAGAGGCAAGACAGCAGAGAGTCAGGCTCCAAGCAGGTGCCCGGAAAAAGTGGCTGCTTCCTTCCCTTCTTTCTGGGCCATTCTGCAGCCTCCACAAACCCAAACATGAGCTGAGCTGTTGGCACAGACAAGGCAGTGCCCGCAGCAGCAGCCACAGAAGTGAGGCTGCACAGGGGGACGGCAGAGATCCCTATCCTGAACTTCTTTAACACCACTGGGGAGAAGGCAGGGACTGGGGGAGGAGCCCAGTCCCAAAGCAGATGGCCTTGCTGGCAGCCAGCCCCTGGAGCTGGGGCAGCTCCTGCAAAGGCGTTCTCACCCTGTTCCACAGCCTAGGCCCAGGCCGGGAGATCTACAGGCTCTCAGAAGTTCCACGAGCCAATGAATTCTCTGGTTATGGATGGCCTGAACAACCTGGCCACTCTGGGTCTGTCTGCTCAGAGGGGACAGTCTTAACACCACGGACCTCAGAGGGTGTCACAAGAGAGACAAGAAAATGCAGGTGGAATGCCCCGCCCTGGCCCGAGCTGTGCAGCTGCATGCTTGGAAGCCATTTTCCCCAGCGACTTGTGATCTGGGGGTTGGGTTTAAGCTCCAGCCTCCTCAAGGGTTTCTTTCTCCGTGAAATAAAGATGCCCCTGCCCCCCTCACAGGGGCGCTGAGATGAGATAGTGGACGTGAAATTAGGACCCAAAAGACTCTTGGTCGGGGTGGGGTAGGAGGGAGGTCCCTGCCTCTACAATCTCCCTCTCCATCTCACTCAGCCCCTGAGCGATCAGCCACTGCCAGTCCCTTGGTCCAGGGGAGGACTGGGACAGGATGCCTGGAGAGACGGGCAGGAAACTGGTTAACACCAGGATGAGAAGGATGCATCCCCCCCACTCCCACCCTTGGACTTGGCTGGACCCTTCGGAGGACTGCAGACCCTCAGGGACCCAGAGGGAACTGGCGGCCTCCTTCCCCAGCAGCGCCAGGCTCCACATTTGTATCTGCCACCAGGCAGTGACCTGGGGACTCCCGGGTGGGGCTGACACCTGGGCTAAGCCGCCACCACGAGAGCGACAGGGCCTCAGCAGTCCCTCCACCCACCCCCAAGCTGGGCGCCAGCATGACGTTTTTACATCTCCAGACACCCCCTCGCCAGGCTGCCCGCTCCGTCACCCACATCCACCCGACTCCTTCCTGCCAAATCCTGTGTCTTGAGCCAATGTGCGCGGCACGTCTGTGCTAGGGCCTGCGTGTGGGATCGCGGATTCCTTTCCTGTAACTGGAGCCAGAGCAGGCTGGGCTCCGTGGAAATCCAAATTTAACTCTGTCCCCTCCTCTTGAAGAGTTCCAGGAGCACTGGGGTCTGTGTGTCTCTGGCAGGCACAGCCCTGAGGAGTGGGGGAGCAGGGTGGGGGGAGGACAGAAATAACACCAAATCCAGGACTCTAGAACTCCACGGAGAAAGCCGGAGGCAGACGGCTGCCTGCCACACAGACCCGCACTGCCCATCTCTCAGAGGTGGGGAGGACGGATGGAAAATAACCCAGCGTGCGCAGGCTGGTGCCAAGCCAGGCATTAGATAACAGCTGATGCCAACAGCTGACGGCTGCTCTGGCCAGATACCAGCCTCGAGACATGATTATGTGTTAACTCATTTAACCCTCGCGGCAGCAACGTGGCAGGGAGGGGGCTGCCGGCCTGCCATTTTCACAGATGAGCAAAGTGGTGCCCAGGAAGGCTAAACAGCCCACTCTGAGGACACATGGTTGGGGGGCGGGCAGGCGGGAGGTGGAACTGAACCCACCCAGGCTATTTCGCCAAGTCCACCCACATGGCCACTATGGGATCAAGTGCTACAAGAGAAACAGCAGCCTGAACATGGTCAGGCCCTGCCCCTAATGCCCATGCCAAGCTTATCCCTCTAGCCTCCAAAGCGTGCCCTTGGCCTTGGCTAGACCATTCCCACCAATGTGCCCCCCAGCTCCCAGCACACTGAGTTCATGGCTCTCTCTGGATCCCTGCATCTCTTACCCAGCACGGACCATAAGCCAGGCAGACCAGGTGTTCACAGAGGACAACACTCAAGTTTCATTATCTGTCCTGGGCTCCTGTTTCTGGCAGCTGGGGCAGCCTCTGCTCCATAAACGCCAAATGAACAAACGAACGCCTGAATGGTTCTCTCCGACAAGGGAGTTCTGCCACCTGCCACGGAGCCAGCGGAATGTGAATGCTTCAGTGGGAAGGGCGGAAGCAAGGGGTGCCCCAGCAGGAACTCCTGCCAAGGACATTCAAGGTGAGGGAGGAGCGGCTGGACCAGGCAGGCAGGCCTCCATGAGAGCCTGAGGAACCTAGCTGGCCACCAGGGGTCCTGGGGAGGGCGGGAGAAGCAAGCTGCAGAAACGGAGCCCTGGCCGTGTCCCTCAGGGCAGGCTCTGGGCAAGGACCGAGAAGGCAGGAGGACCTCAGCGCAAACCCTGTCTCTTTCTTTTTCAAAGCCATCCTCCAGGAAGAGGGTGGAATGACAGTTCTCCTGACACAGCATCTGCTTCCTTCAGTCACTCTTTCCAAACGGGCACAGCTCCAAGTCCAGAACAGCTCTGCAGCCAGTGCCTCCCATCTCAGCACCAGCTGTGTGACACACACCTGATCCCCGGCAGCAGGTGCTCCAGGGGCTTCTGGGTCGGCTCCAGCCGGCCACAGGCTTTGGTCAGTGATACGTCCTCTCCATGTCTTACGTGTGCGGAGGGGGGAGGGCAGCACCTGCCTCCTAGAGGCCTCGTGAAGTGCGGGCGATGCAAGAGTCAGGAGCCCAGCACCCAGCGCCAGCCAGGCGACCTTCCAACAGCATCA